AAAATGAGAGATAGTCACCTTAGCTTGTGACGTGGAAAGAATTGACACTTCGAAAACTCATCAAGACGAGTCCCGTTGCATCTTCAGGTCACATGTAAACCACTAAGCAAGATGGCAATACGGTTAAAATTGACAATTTTTTCTCGGTTCTAAAACCGCAGAAAATTCTCCTCGCAAAGAGAAGGATGATAAGAATCATCTCTCCATAGGAAGAAAGTTGATCTCTCCGTAACCACGGAGGAAGGTTTAGCAACAGAGGAAGGTTAAGATATGTATCAAATCTATTTAGTACTCCGTAAGAGTTTGAATAAAAGATGACGTTCCCACATTTATTTAATTTATTTTTGTTAAAATGGCACATTTAATTTTCTCATAAAATTATAGATATTTAAATATCAAAATGTGCATTTTATATCCAGCTAAAATTTAGGTTTGAGAATTTATCTATCCAGCTAAATTTATCTAAATGTGCATTTTATATTTCTCGTTCAATCCCGCGTTTGAGATTTTTGTTTTTATCGTCTAAAATTTCTTTATTTCATAACGAAGAGTACAAGGATCAAAAATTGAAAGAAAACAAAATCCAGAATCCAAAACAAAGAAACGAAAACATCAGCACTCTAATAACAAGAAAGAGTATAGGATGTTACCATGCCGCGTCTCGAGCGATACAATTTTGTAACCGTGATGGTCCCCCTAGTGCGAGATACGATTGAAACTGTCCATCCCTAGCGACACTTTTCGAGATCGCTCGAGCAACAAAATTTGCACTGAGTTGTTCCAACTCAAAAAAACAATTTCAAAAACCACATCGAAGCTTTTCAATCTAATGTAACATACTTCGATATCTCGTCCATTCTTGTGGCTTAGAGATTGCCTCAAAATCCGCTTTGCAATCTAACGCAAAAATTATATTATCTAGATGTAAGTCCTATAGACTTTGCATAGCCCAAAGGGTGCTGCATCTCAACTCGGTTGTTATACGTACGGTTATGTGACCCAATGGTTGCATTTCGAGCATCTGACAGTACCCTCATCATCTCGAACCAACCATGAACCTCCACAATGTAGTTGAGAGTTCCTCCAATTAGCATTAAGATTGCATTTAAGTCTATCTCGCATTGGCATGTGCCATCTTTCCCTAGTTGCATATCAAAATCCCGCATTTGAGATTAAAATTTGAATTGTTGTAGTTACCCTTTCCATACCAGTTAATGAAAATATGAAATTTTAATGTTATAGGTTCAAATTATTTTTTTTTTAAAAAGAAAAGAACAAAGTAATGACAAGTATACGTCCTCTAAATTAATCAGGATTTGTAAATTCTTTTTTCGAGTTGGATTGCCAATGAAAATTATTTAATTTAATGTATAAATGTGTGGTTAACACAAAATTGAAAAATCAATCGGAATTTTATACGAAATTGAACAAAAAAAAAGCTATAACCAGTATACGATATTTGAAAAATTGTGATATTTTTAGAAAAAAAATTTTATTTAGTGATATTTGTGAGAATTGTGCTTATTAATATTACCTATAACCAGTGTATACATATTATAAGAAATTCGAAAATATAAATTATAAAATTATTATCAAATAGAAAATTAGTTCTTCATAGAGTGATTCACTACTTTCGAATCAAATTCGATGTATAGCCTAATAACAAATAATAGAAATATTAAAAAACAATACTAGTAGTG